AAGGTATCCCGGACGGTGATCTCGTATCGTGGCAACGGGTGGATAGGCGTCGGTGGAAGCCTCTTGATTGTCGGATCCCAACCGAGCTGGTGCTCTTCCGCGAACGCGACGCAGAGCAGGAATTCCACTACGGATCTGTGATCCTGCATTTGAATAGTCAATTTCAAGTCACATGCGCACAACACTGGCTTCTCGCTCACCTGGATGAAATCGAGTGGAGTCGACACGAAGACCTCAGTGCGACTGCAGTACCACCAACGCATCTTCCGATTCTCAATTGTATATCCGAACACGAATCTCCTTCTTACATCGTCCCGCAGGATGTGGTATAGCGACCATAGTATCTTCCTCCGATTCTGAAAGGTCGAGTGAGCAAACGGGCGCGATGCGAAGAGGAGGAGGAAAGAAACAGAGTAATACTCACATCCCATCTAGCGTCGGGACTATCACTCTTCTTGAACTCTCCTGGAACAGCAACCTCGGCCCACTGTGCCTTCTCAGTTGGATCGTTCACCGCCTTCGCAGAAGACAGAATAGCATAGCTGTCGGGCCGCGAGGTGTTATGACGGGATAGACACATTGGCACCCGCGAGGGATTACACTTGAACTCGCAAAGTCTTTCCGTCACGGGGATTTTCGAGACGTGAAGGCACGCATTTTCGACGGCTCTGGCCAGCTCTGCGAACTTCTTGAATACCTCGTCTTCGTGCACGGATTTGGGATTGGGTGGTGGCGTCATCGTGTCCTCGGGATCGGATGGGAACAGAGCCCACCGGCCTGATTGAATCGTCCCATCATCATTCAACTGCTGCAGGACCGCATCGACATCAATCTCTGGTCGAAGTTCCGGAAGGAGTTGTCTGCGGAAGTCGTCTGCCGCCACCACGGTGACGGACTCATTGAGATCTAGACAGACGGCGTCGCGGCATTCTTCAACATGAGCAGTGCTAGGAACGCTCTGTGCTCGCTTTTGAGCCAAAGGAGTGGGTTTAGACGCGTGAGTAGTGAGGTTGGGGTTGAGAGACTGAGCCATACTGGGTCTGGGTGAGGACTGTCACCGTCGTAGGCGCGTCCAATTTTATAGGGTAGTTCTGAGACTGTTTCCCAAAAGGACCGTTTCATTGTTTGCGAGTGGGGACAATGAAAACAAGAGTGAAACGCTTATGGCAGGTAGTAACCTGACTGTGGCGAGGGGACGCGCGCAGCGACCTGGCTTGCATGCTTTCTCACGGTCATGTTCAAACTCTGGCGGCCCCGACCATGGTGCCAAGACGAGGCGAGACCTCATCGAATGCTACAACTTTGTCACCTGCATCCTTGGGATGGATATCCTCCTAGACTGTGAAGAAGATTCACTTGTAGACCCTAAAGGCTGTGAACCTGAAGTTATCTTTTTACCTTCCGCGTCTCCAAAGAAGCTCATTCTTTCAGCTGCGTTCGCCGCACGGATCCGCGACGTCACAGGCTGATCAATATCCTCAGTAACCTTGAAGGCCTGGCATCTCCGTAGAGAACACGCTAGGGCGACGAGACGCATCTCCTTCGGAACAGCATCAGCTGCGCCTAAAGTCCATGAAACATACGCCACAGAAAGACGGATATCATCGTCGCTCCTCATCTGACAGTAGTTCAATCTATAGAATGATACGCCTGAGGCTGAGGCTGCTAGCTCGCTCGCGCCTGCTCACAGGTGCAAGAACCAATTTTCCTGCCAATCCCTTTTACTTGGTAATTGTCGATAGTAGTGTGCGACGTATGTCCTTTCGATCGGTCGAGAACCATGGCGAGCTGGTTGAGTTGTCCTCTGGTGAGTTCGGACATGATACGGGCCGCTGTCATTATTGCGAAGGTAGGATTCATTCTTGCGTTCTCGCATGATCCAGCAGTTTGAAGGGGCTGGTGTGCTGTCAGGATGGCGACTACAAGATTACAGCTGGCAAATCTGTTAGTCTTTTCGCTGGGCTTCTCATCGCTAAAGGTCTGCTAGTACGTCTCATGCACGGTACCGGTGCACACGAACGTCGCGGACTTCTTCGATTCTCAGAACAGCCTAGCCACTCGGCACCTCACTCGTCTTACCTTTACATAGGTATTTATTGACCTTGGAGCAACACTGAGTGCGTCTTTTCTACTGGTTCCGGTCCGCAATCTCTTACATTACACATTTAGTTAACATTATTGTTCTGTTTGCGAGGACATCTCGCCACGAGATGCACAGCGCGTCGTTCTTATTTGGCCCTGAGGGCGTAATCAACAGTACTGCAGGCTAGGATAGCGGCATTGCCTTCTTATCCGGCTTGTTGGGTGTACAGTAAACGGTGACCGTAAGTAATGTCAGATTGTAGATTCCCTGTCGCCGCTCATTGTCACCAAGGGATACGATACTACTGCACATATCTCAGTGTGAGATATCAATCCCAGCAAATTTTGATTCACTTTACTTTTATTTATGACAAATGAAATCAGACGTGCCGCTTACCTTGGTAGGTAGCTGCTGTTTGGTTTGTCCGAATTTATAGTGTTAACACCAGGCGCTTGAAGTGCCCGCCGCTATGCTCATCGCGATAGGAAACGGCATTATCAGCTGGCTTCTTGACACTGTTCTCGTGCTCCGCTTTGGATCGTTGTAAGGTTCTTCCCAACGTGTTCTTACACTGCCTACGCTGACATGATACCTTCGACAGTGAGAACTTGCTGGGCCCGCCTGGCTCCGCAATCCTGCAGGTAGACTGGCTCCTACACCATCCCGGCACTCTCCTCATATTCCTTGCAGACCCTCGTGCTGCGCATCAGCAAGCCCGGCGCGCTCTTCGCTGTGGGCCCTCGTTCGCCTCGTGGGGTTCTTCTGGTGCCAGACGAGATACAGGCGAGCTCGCTCACGATCTATGCCCTCAGCAGAGACCACGACCTACCAGACGACGGCTTCTTCTTCGGGCGCGTGAGCACGCAAACGCACGAGCCGCTCCGTGCGATCTGGTTCACGACGCTTGCAACAGCCGGGCCCGGCTCGTTCTACATGGGCGACGGCTGGCTCGGGTGGTGCGTCAACGCCCGCGGCTGCGCCCTGGGCACGTCTGCGTCACATTCTCGACCCCGAACGCGCTCCCTACCACAGGCACGAACACGAACTATCCGTTGGTGCGCTGCCATTTCCTCTCTCTGCCAGATCGACATTCGCGTGCTAACTTCGGGACCGTCCCACCAAGTCCATCACCGGCGGCGTCCTCCTCCTGGCGCTGCGAGTGTCTCGTTATCTTGAAATCGCAGGGGTGGCTCTGATGTTTGTATCAGAGTGCAGGCACTGTACTTATTTCAGAGTGAGTCAACTCAAAACGATTGGCACCACAAGGTGGGGCTGACCTGTCGCTCGCAGAGGCATGCGACTACCATGGGTCCGGCGCCGAACGTCGACCAGCACGACGACAGGTCGCGGTCGTTGGAGGAAGCTAAAACCAACGATGTTCACGAGAAAGAACGCGATGACGGCGCAGCATATGGCAATGCCACAATCCCCGATTATCCCGTTAAGTCCGGAGACGATCTCCTTGCGTCGAGGCTCCAACGAGCTCCAACGCGCATGGATCTGCACGTAACGAGGGAACGCACGCGATACAAGACAAGTCGTTATATTTAGCATGAGACATCGTCACGAGAGAACACCGAGGCGCACAAAAAAAATGGATACACCGCCCGTACAGCCGGATGTGGTACACAATAGATAACGAGTTAACAACATTGAGCACGAAAGGAAAAATGCTAGTGGTACATTAAACAACAGATGAAAGGGCAAGTAAACAACAACAAGAGGTGGTGCGAAGAGCCAAAGTGAGGGTGATCATGATCATATGCCAGACAACAAGCCAAAGGCTTGTTAAGTTCATCCCTAGACTGCGGAGGTAAGACGCGCTTGAGAATGTCGCATCTGCCGGCCAAAAATGATTCGGCAACGCGGCAGGCTCATGGCGCAGGCTTGCGGTCGGGCATGGGCGACCGGGAACGCGCGCGCAGTCCGCCCTTGTTCGGACTGTACTGTAGCTGGGGGACGGTGAGCACACCGGCCTTGGTCTCGATGGACTTGGTCTCGACGCCGTCGTCGAAGCGCGTGTAGGCGCCGTACTTGTCTGCAGAGTCGGGCGTCGCCGCCGTGCGCGGTGAGAGCTCGGTGATGTACACCGGGCTAGGGTCGAACCGATGGCAACCTGTAGATGGCAAGCTGTCAGCGCGGGTGCCCCTGGCGGGAGCTAGGCTATCAACGGGCTTACTCGTGCGTGCTGAGCGTTTCTTCCACACCAGGAACGCGCCAAGGCAGGAGCGCGGCGAGGCCCACGGCGCCGCACACGCCACCTGCGACTATAGCGGAAAGAACGCCTCGAATATCAACGTTCAACCTTGACTGCGCGACCACACCCGCCCTTGACTAGCTTGACTGTACGGAAGTATCATATTAAATTGAAATCGTGAAGAGCGAGAAAGTGTATCTGTGTAAATGCTGAAGAGGGTACGGTACACAAATGATAATCATCAGTCAAACACATCGTCACTGCTCAGAATCGGAGCCGTGGTCAGCCGCAATGAGCGTCGTAAGTGAAGGGATTGGAGGCTGAGCCCTCGAGGAAGATGACACATCCTTGCTTCCTCCGACCCTCCGGACCTTGGATCGTCGGCCGTCCTGGTCTTCGTCTGTGCCTGAATCGCCGTCGACGTCAGCAGTGTCTCCGACTCCTCTCCCCATCTCCTCATTCCCGGCGCCCTTCGGCTTGATCAGTCTACGCGTCCTCTTCGTGATGTCCTTGAGAAGATGAAGTGGCGTCTGCTCAAGGATAGAAATAATGGTGGTAATGCTCTGGCTGAGCTGTTCGTTCACAGCTGACCAGTCCATCGTGATTGGTTCGGCCACCCCTGGCTTGAGGTCCTTCTCCGCGTCCTTGAAGGCGCCCACCAAGTCGGAGCACATAAAGTCCAGCTCGCAGATGATCTTGGCAACAGTGGGATGAAGGCTGTCAGTCTGCCCCGCCAAGTACTTTGTGGTCGTCATTACCGCCATTCGATGATCGGGTTCGCAGAAGAGGTTCCAGGCCAAGGCACGCTGTGCATCCATGAAGCCCTGGAAAGTCTGAGCATCGTACTTGCGTTCTCCTCTTTCGTTGAGCTCGCTGTTCTCGTACTCGGAGACGAGAAGAACGAAGAGTAATAGCCATAGGACCGATTCGTAGTCGTGTAAAGGATTGTGGCGAAATATGATGCGGTTCGGACGTGTCGTATCTAGAAGCGATAGAGTAGGATCGGCGGCTTCGTTGGGAGCTGACTTGGGGACAGTGCGTGGTCCACTCTCCTGCTGGGATGTCTGCACGTGAGGGGGAATCGTCTCATGATCCCGCATGGTGCGCTGAAGTCTGTCCGCAACACTTGTCTTCGTAAATCGGGTATTTCGCGGCTTGGCAGGTATGTAGTTGTAACGAGATGCGCGGACCTCTTCTGACATGAAGTATGGCGTTCCCTAAGAAGATTTGGGTGATTCCTCAGATGGTCACAGATAGTTACCGAATAAAAACCCACCGTCCGGACACCATGATGCGCACCGAGGTCGGACGTTTCCTTCGCATATTCGAGATCAGTGATCTTGGCTTTCCCTTTGACGACCAATATGTTGCCGTAACTGATGTCGCGGTGGACCCAGTTCGCTGAGTGCAAGATATCCAGCCCTGATCGAGATTAGGACCAGAATAAAGTAACCCAAAATGCGTGTTGACTCACCGAGTAGAACCTCCTCGATCCCGGCAATAGACGTCGACAAGTGTATCCACCTCCAAGAGATCCTTTCCTGCGTCTTTGAAAACAGTGCGATGATGCACCTTGTGAGAGTATGTAGCACCGGCTCTCGCGGTTCTGATCGAACGGGTGA